GCATGACACGTAAAGAACTCGCCGTGTCATCTCACCGTATCTTCGGTGAGCCGAACAAGCAATTCGGGTAGCAGAGGGTGAACAGACCAAGGCCCTATTTGGAAACCCTCCGCTTCGTTCTAGAAGCCAACACCAGCACCTTCGACGAAGACGGAGAACCGCGCCCATACACCCGCGAATACTACCGTCACGAGATTGATCCAACTTGGAAAGACCCTGACGCACCAGAGGAGCTGAGTGTTCAGGAAGAACGAGACAAGGTACGAGCGGAAAAGAAGCAAAAGCTATATGAGGAGCGCATCGCGGCAGGATGGGACGAACAATCAGCACACGGAGGATGGGGCGACGAGGATACGAACCCAAAACACGGCGCAACCTGGGCATCCGCCACTGGAGCATGGGGAGCCAGCGCCAGCGGCACGGTTACCACAGGAGGATGGGGGACAGCCGAACCCGATGAAGGGGAGCTTACCCAAGAAGAACTGGAGGAAGCTGAACGCGAAATGCAAGCTGAGCGCGGCGAAGCACCACCTCGAGTCGCCATTCCCCTCGGGCGGACCCCCCGCACTGGTGAACCACCTCGTTCACCTCATCGCTGGACCGATCCCTGGTCGGAGATTGAGGAGGGGAATATACCACCAACTCCTCCTCGGGACTCTCTTGGTCCAATCTCCCGCCCAGATCCGTTTGCACGCTTCATCGAAGGCACCACGACCCCGCTCACCATCATCCCCGACCGCGAATTTCTCGCGCTCTACCTCACAACGGCACCTGCAGAAGCGGAGGCAACGACAGCAGCAGAAACAGAGGAGCCGGACAACGAAGCAGAACCATGAGAAGAGGAAGAACCTCCACTCCAGATCCCGCAACTCACGGCGGAGGAGGCAGCAGAACATCACACCCGCTACAAGCGTACCTCCGGCATTCGCGCCGAGGACGATCTCTGGCACCAGCGGATGGGACACCCCTCGCGCCAGACTCTCGCCAACTGCCTCCGCGCTAAAGTATTCCCGCCAGGAGCACTGCTGCGCCCCGACGGAACGGAATTACAACACACCACCCCTCATCCAACCACTTGCACAGTCTGTCCCACAGCTGCACTCTCCCACACCGCCTATCCCTCTCTGGAGCCGAGTACCAACCGCTACAAAAAGTTGGAGAAGGTGTACAGTGACTTCATCGTGCTCACTTGCGACGGACTCAACGGCGAAAAATACATGCTGACCTTCATCGATGCCTACTCACGCCACGTGTGGGTCGCCAACGTCGACGCCCGCTCCAAGGCTCCGGAGGTATTCCGCATCTTCCTCGCGCACGCGCAACGCCAGTCCGGAAGGAAACTGAAGATCCGGCAGAGTGATGGGGCAAAGGAATTTCGGAGCAATGAGCTGGAGAGTTTACTCACCGAGAAGAGGATCAAGCATGAGATTTCTCTCCCCTATGCTCACCCGCAGCAAGGTGTCACCGAGAGGGTCAACCGCACGCTCATGACCAAAGTCCGCGCCATCATACCAGTCCGGCCTGCCAAAGAAATTTTGGCCCTACGCCATGAATCACGCGGTGCGCCTGCAGAACCTCCTCTCCACCACCGCCAACAGGGATAACCTGTCCCCTCACATGAAGTGGACCGGCTCAAGGGGAGACCCCTCCATGCTGAGAGTTTGGGGGTGCATGGTGCAATATCGGCCGACTTCAGCAACAATCGGCAAGTTCGTTCATCGTGCGCGCTGGGGAGTTCATTTGGGGCTCAGTCACGAGCATAAAGGTTGGCTCATTCTTGACATCGACAGCAAGGAGATCGTTCCTGCGCATGACATCCTCTTCTATGAACGACTCACCCTAAAGCAGTGGATCGAGGACGAGCGCCGAAACCAGGCACGCGGCTATGTCAACAGCGGCCGCAGCTTCGCGACTCCAGAAGACGCAGCAGCAGCGACAGTACTGGACCGTGATGACACCGACGAACATCCCGGCATTCCTCCTCACCCGCGCGACGACGACGACGATGACAGCGATGACGACCCCACGCCAGGACCATCACGGTGCCAAGCACAGCCAAGCACCGCAGCACCCGGCTATGAGAGCGGAGATGACGACGTGGTGGAAGTCCCCACCAACACAGACACCACCAATGTATCAGTCCTTCAACTTCTCGGCCTACACACATCTGTCTCTACTCTTGCACGGGCCGTGGAGCCAAAGAATCCTCGCCAGGCCCTAACCGGTCCTCACGCCAAGGAGTGGCGTGCTGCGATGGATGCGGAGCTAAAGGCTCTGGAATCGCGTGACACCTGGGTCCTAGTCGATCGTGCAGCAGTGAAGGGGAGGAGGGTGCTCAGCGGGAAGTGGGTTTTTCGCCTGAAAACTAACGCTGACGGCACTATCGAGCGTTTCAAGGCACGCTGGGTCGTACGCGGGTACGATCAGCGCCATGGCATCGACTTCGATCAAACCTTCGCTCCCGTCAGTCGCCACAACTCAGTCCGGATTCTACTTGCCATTGCCGCCGCGAAGCACCTGCCACTGCGACAGATCGACGTAAAGAACGCGTTTTTGTACGCGTTGGTGGACGCCACCATCTTTGTGGAGCAGCCGCACACCTACGGGGAAGGTGATCCCAGGGTGTGTCAACTGAAGAAGTCCCTCTACGGGATCAAGCAGGCGCCTCGCCTCTGACAGCAGCACCTGCAAAAAATTCTCCTCGAAATCGGCTTCAAGCAGCTCCCACACGACCCGGGAATGTATCGCCTTCACTTCAATGGAGACTACATCCTCCTGACAGTCTACGTCGACGACCTGCTGTACACGGGCACATGCAACAAACTCGTGGATCAGTTTCAGGAGAACCTGGCGCAGCGCGTAGACATCACCATCAACCTCGAAGTGAAGCAGTTTTTGGGGTTAAACATCACTTACGCGCCAGAAGCAATCCATCTGTCAGCCTCCAAGTATGCAGAGCAGCTGGGGGAACGCTTCAACATCTCTCCCGCACCACTCTCAACTCCCTACCGCAACCCCAGCACCAACTACAAACCGGATAACAAACCACTGTCATCCGCAGGACTCCAACTGTACCAGCAGCAACTGGGTTGTCTGCTGTTCGCCTCTGTCACCTGTCGACCCGACCTTTCGTACATCGCTAGCCAACTGGCGCAGTATTCTCGCAAGCCAGTAGCTGAGAACCAGCTGGACCTGGAACGCGCCCTGCAGTACTTCATCTCCACGCCTGACATTGGGCTCTCCTATTCCACGCTGACGACGACCTCCTTCAACCTCAACGGCTACGTGGACGCAGATCACGCTGCTGACCCTGACAATCGACGGTCCCGAACTGGCTTTGTTTTTCGCCTGGAACCAACTGGGCCAATCTCCTGGAACTCACAAAAGCAGGAGCTGGTTGCCCTGTCGTCGGCCGAAGCAGAATACATCGCCGCGACAGCAGCAGTTCGCGAAGGCCTGTACCTGCAAGAGCTGTTACAGGAAGCGAAAAATCCAACCTCGCCTACCTTTCGCCTTCACTGCGACAACCAGAGTGCCATCAGGATTGCGAACAAGCCTGGTTTCGTGAACCGCACGAAGCACATCGCACTTCGGTATTTTTTCGTCAAGGACGAAATTGACCAAGGCAAAGTTGACCTCGCCTACTGCCCGACTACTGAGATGGCAGCAGACTTCCTCACCAAGCGCCTGCCACGTCAGCAGTACAAGCACTGCTCTGACCTCGCCGGAGTAGTCAAGCGAGTCAGCTCCTCCTGCGCCCAGGAATGAAGGGGAGTGTTACGATATGAAGTTTTATGAGTAAGGCATTCCTGTATGCTGCAGGAGCCGACTCTACCGAGTACGAAGTCGAGGAGTCAGAAGAGTCGAAGCGACGCAGCAACCGTCTGACCAAGACCGATGCAGGCAGAAACACTTGAAATGAAAAGAGCGGGAACAGGTTCAAAACGGGTTCCCGCGCCGCACGGTTTGAATTTGCTGTAATAAGGGAATGTACCCCTTAGAGTATATGGCTAGTCTAGGTCTTTTCGTATTCCCCTGTACTCTTATATAAACTCGATGTATGCATGCTTTTATCAACTCAGTCATTTACATTCACTCTGACCTGAGATTCAAATCTTCCGCTGCAACCCTACTCTGCGATCAACCCTGAGCGATCCTTCACTAAGTCCCACTTGGGATTGTAACATGGAACACTGATCACAAGGGTTTTGCTCAAAAGCAGAAATTACTAGCCCTGGTCTGATACACCCACCAGGGTAAAAACGCGGGGCTGGCTAGGTTTGGCGAAAAAAAAAACCAATTTCGCGAAATCGGAAACACTCGCCAAAACCCAAACCAGTAAAACCCCCTCTCGTCATGATTTTAAAACTTGTGCAATTTGAGCCAGCAGCTTTAAATCAGTTGTCTGAAAACCGTCCGTTAAGGGGGTAGATGCAGCAGCTGAAAAGGCTGCCACGATTAGATAAGTTAAATCTAAGAACAGGGATAGTTATTCGCGCTGTTTCAGCAGTAAGAGTGCGATGTGTGCAGTTTTTGGTAGAAGTAAAAGAAGGCTAGAGGAAGCTGGGGACATGGCTGTGCTGGAAGTGCGATGTCTTCAGAATCAGAAATGGAGGGGATGTGAGAGGTAGTGCTGCTGCCCCAGAATGGGTGTTGGGGTGTCATGGCTGCTTGCTTGACTGTTGGATGTCATGGGTAACGGATTTGGCATGTTGGACTGGCTGGGTGGCGGATATGGCATGTGTGACGTGTCGGATGGCACGGGTGGTGGATAGTGCATGTGTTGGATGCAATGGTTAGAGAACGTCGTATGCGCTGGAACCCCTGGGTAGCGCATGTTCCAGATAGCATGTGTCGAGCTCGCTCTCCATCCCTTCCCTTCCCTTCCCTCATCTCCTCCCCTTCATTCCCCCCTCCCTTGTCTTTTCACCTTTCCTCCCCCCAACCCAACCCCTCCTCACCTCCCCTCCCTCCCGCACTCCTCCTCCCAACCGCCGTTGTCATCTAAGGTCCGCCTCATCCCCATAGTCCCCGTTTCCATCCCCTCCAATCCCACCCACATGCGCCATGCTCGACGCCATCCGTGCCGCTTTCGCAGCCGCCATGGGCGTGGCCTGCGGCGTGGGCACCAGCGACTGCGGGTTGAATATACGCCAGGGCGCGCACGTGCTGCTGGCGAGAGCCATCCACATGTCAAAGCGGGACTCCCATGAGTACGGGCTGGACGTGTGCAGCTCCACCGCTACTTCGTTGGCGCCCGTGCGGAGGAGAGAGCGGAAGGAGTCCAGGGAGACAGTGAAGGTGGACCAGGGCGCGTTGGGACTCGCATCCATGGACGCCTGGTGGGGAGCGAGGGCAGGGGACGGGAGGGGAGGGTAAGAAGGAGGATTAGCTTCTGAGGCGGCTTAGAAAACTTCTTCCGGTTGGGCTCAAGAGATGGAGAAGGTGGACCAGGGCGCGTTGGGACTCCCGTTTATGGACACCTGACCTGGTGGGGTGAGGGAGGGGAGGGAGGGGAATGGAGGGGAATGGAGGGGAATGGAGAAGGGCAAGGATGTATGGAAAGGGAGGGGCGTGGAGGGATTTAGAGTCGGGAGTGACAGGTCGTACAGCCATGACGAATTCAGACATGAATTTGATTGTGGAAAGCAGCATACACGGATCTCCAAGAAAAGTGGTGAGAGAAAGTCAAGACGAGTGTGTTCCATGTTCCATGTTCCATGTTCCATGTGCCATGTTCCATGTGCCATGTTCCATGTGCCATGTTCCATGTGCCATGTTCCATGTTCCATGTTCCATTCCTTGATCCCTGTTCCTTGTACCGCGTGCCACAACCCTATGGACTCACGGGGGTGGTGGGCAGGACGCGGCCCTGTGGCATGTTGGAGCGCAGCACCTCCTTGCCGTTCACATAGACCACAAAGCCGTCACTGGCCACCACGCCCAGCAGCAGGCGCTGGTAGCACAGCGTGGAAGTGTTGTCGAGCTGGAACTGCTTCCGAAAGTAGAACGCCAGGGATGTCTGCATACACACACAGGGGGGAGGAGGGGGGTTAGTGGGTTGGGGACAGGAGAGGACGAGAGGGGGTTGAGAGGGGGAAGGGAAAAGGGGGGCGAGAAGGGGAAGAGAGGGGAGAAGGGGAAGAATGTACACTCTACACTGTGCACTACAGACTCTAGACACTGGACTCACGGCTTGCGGGCTGGCGAGCGTGGTGAGTTCCCCACGCCTGGAGGACGCTTGACTCTGAAACTCTAAAATCTTCACTCTACACTATTGAGAATTCTCAAAAGTAACTCTGGAATCAACACCCTGCACTGCAGATTCCAGACACTGGACTCACGGCTTGCGGGCTGGCGAGCGTGGTGAGTTCGCCCTGGCCGCCGCGGCCAAAGGGCCCCACGCCCCGCTTCCAGTTTGAGTCAGAGGCAGCGAGGGGCTTGAGGGAGAGGAAGGAGGCCGGGCGCGTGCCGGCATCAGAGTAGCGCCACGTGCCTGACGAGGAGAACACACCGCATTGCCTGTTGTTGGAAAGGAGGGGGGACGCAGAGGTGCGAGAGACATGTGCAATGTGGAAAGGGAACAACAAGGTGGTAGGATTGGTCTCCCACACTCCTGCTCGAATGCTTCATAGGTAGGTAGGTCGGTAGGTCGGTAGGTAGGTCGGTAGGTAGGTCGGTAGGTCGGTAGGTAGGTCGGTAGGTAGGTCGGTAGGTAGGTAGGTAGGTAGGTAGGTAGGTACCAGGTCCTTTCCCTTTCAGCTTGTGACCAGCACGATTACGCTCTAATAAACACTCTCATGTAAAGAGTTTTTACTGAAGTCAAAGAAGCGATTGCACGGTTGCACCCCCATGAGAAGCGACTGCACAGTTGCACTGTGTGCCGCACTCACGTGTACGTGCAGGCGATGGAGCCGCGGACAGCAGAGAGCGAGACGACGACCGAGTCTAGTTTTGAGGCGCCTCAAGACTATACCAGACCCGATAACTCCTCTCAGCTCGGCGTCTACCACCAGACCTCGAAAATACTCGGCACTCACGTGTACGTGCAGGCGATGGAGCCGCGGACAGCAGAGAGCGAGACGACGACCGAGGAGGAGGAGCCCATGGTGATCTGCAGGTTCACATTGCGCTGCGCGTCACACTTGTACGCCAGCTGCGTGATGTTCTTGAACGGCGCCTTCACCCCGCCACATGCTCTGATGGGCGAGGAAGGAAAGCGGAGGGGAGCGGTGGGGGGAGGGAGGGAGGGAGAAAGACAGGGAGGGAGGGAATCAGTAGAAGGCGGGGGAAGCGTAGAGAGTATCCTTACCACTAGGAGCACTGGAGCAAAACGTGCATGTCCCACACATTCCATCCAACTACATTCCCCGCTTCCCTCTCTTCCTCTCCCCCCTCTCCCCCTACATACCCCCATCCCACTCCCTCTCAGCACACTTCCCCTTACCACACCAAACACCCGCTCGCCGTGCAGCGCCACTCACTGCCAGAACAATTTCGGCGCAGATGCCACCTGCCACACCATCCTGGGCGCGGGAGGCGCCAACTGCAGCACAACCGATGAAGAACAGCTAAGTCCTTGATCCGTGTACGCGAGCGACACAGGGCCGGAGGGAAGAGCGGTGAACGTGACGAGGTAGGAGGTGTTGGCGGGGAGGTTCACGTAGCGTGCGCCGTCGGGGTTGATCACTGCTCCGTCTGCGATGCGCGTGAGGAGGAAGGGCGCGCCCATGATGCCCACGCTGCGGTAGCACGCTTGCGGGCACGCCATGCCGTTCCAGTGCGGGCGCTGGGGGAAGAGAGGGGTGGGGGGAGAGGAGGAGGGGGGTGTGTATGAGGTGGAGAGGGGAGAGAGGTGGAGAGGGGATTGAGGTGGAGAGGAAAGGTGTGGAGGGGGAGGGGGGTGTGTATGAGCCGGATGATGGATGTGGTACATGACAGCACTGGCAGCAGTGGCAGCATGCATTGGGTTGTTGGGAGATGATAACATGGTAATCCATACGTTCTGCCAGGAATCACCACCACCATCCACAGCACCCAGCACAAAACTGTCCTCCCCCCCAGACAGACACCCCTCCTTCTCCCCCTCACCCCTCCCCACAGCACATACCGGAGAGCAGCGAACAGTCGACGAGGGCTCCAGCCCAGTCGTATTCGCCACAGCATACCCACCCGTACCGCCCAGCACCGTCCCATCTTCATCCTTCCACGTGAGGAACCTCGTGAGCGGGCCCGCATCCCCTCCCCCGGTTTCAAACCCAAGCTGCCCCAGCTGCCGCGGCACCATCCAGATAAACGGCGACCGGTCCGCCATCCGAATCCTCGCGCTGCTGTGCGCCGTCGTCCACATGTCCGTGCCGTGCCCGTTGGCTGTCACCGCGGCCGAGGTTCTGCACTTGTTGAAAAACTTCCCGAACGTACAGTTGACGATGCGGTGCGGCATGCCCTTGCGCCCGTGCCCGGGGTACTCGTCCTGGTCGATCAACACTCCGAACTGGGTCCAGTAGCGCGAGACGGTGGGGGAGTTGGAGCGGGCCACGTCGGGCGTGGAGGCGAACGGAAGGTCGCAGGATCCGGTCTTCTCCACGCGGGACTTGCAGGATGTGTACTCTGTGTGCGTGTTGTCGCAGCCCAAGGGATTTCCTGTGTTGTCCGTCTCGCCCAGGATTACCGAGTTGGAGATCTGGGGGGAGGGCATGGGGAGTGAGAGGGGTGAAGGGGGACAAAGCAGTGAGAATAAGGAGGGGAGTGAGAATAAGGAGGGAAGTGGGGTTGTTGCATGATGGTTAGTTGAGTGTTGCTGAACTGAGCTTGGAGTATGGAGCACAGGGCATGAAACTTCGGAGCATGGAGCATAGTGCGACACTCTATCTCTTCGCTTCAACAAGAGCACCATCATGAGACATGCTGCGGCGAGCGTGGCCGGGCTCTCCCCCCCCCTCACTCCTCCTCCCAGCTCTCACCGTGATGGCCTGGTCGCGGTTGAGCTCGATGCCCACAATTGCATTGTCCGCCACCTGCGCCTCTGTGATGGTCAGCGAGTCCGTCTCGTGAATGAACATGCTGCACGCACGGAGGTGAGGACAGGGGGAAGCAAAGGGGGAGAGGGAGGGGGAGGAGATGGAGAGGGAGGAGGAGGGGGATGGGAAGGGGGAGGGGGAGGGGGAGGGGGAAGGGGAAGGGTTTTGTTGTGAATGAGAGGAGAAGGCGCAGCAGTTTGAGATCAGTGAAGGTGGATGTGACATCACAGAAAGAGTGAAAATGTTACAGGGGTGGGGAGGGGTTGGGGCAGCAAATGGCGAGAAAGACTGAGGAACCAGGGTGGTGGTACAAATAGAAAGGAAGGGGAAGTGTCAAGAAAGAGGCTCTCACCCTATGAACTGGTTCTTGTACGCCCGGAAGCCCTTAAATGTAATGTTCGCTGCAGGCTGGAACGGGCAGACGAACGGGCAGGGCAAGGAAAAGACACCTGACTTATAAGTGCTCGCGGATGGCACCGAACAAAAAGGCGATTCGATCTTTTGGACCAGACCCAAACTAGCATGCAACCTCGAGATTCGGGAACATACACCACAAGCAAAGACCCCCTATTACCACCCTAGATTTCACCCCATCTCAATGCGTTCATTCATTGCACTCCCCCCACCTCGACCGCCCTCACTCACACATGCAACCTAAGGGAATCCATAGCAGCGTATGACACTATCTTTTTCCTCGCTCACTAAATCCTCTTTTCTTTTTCGCCTCCCGTCATACCGCGTTGATCCCCGAATATTCCTGCATCGTCGATATCCCCCCGTTGAGGCGAGGGCGGTACCCCGAGGGGTACGTGCGCAGCCCCGCGCGGCCGTTGGAGTGCGCCGCGTTGCCCACGAACGAACCCAGCGGCATGAGCTTCGGCGCCATGGCCGCCGCTTGCGCGTACAACGCGGACGGCCCTTTCACGTCCGCTTCGAGCTGGAACCAGAATCCCGAATCGCTCGACCCCGCCGCGACATTCCCTATGAACGCGTTGTTCGGGTTCGTGATCCAAAACGTCGACGGCGAGTTGTCGCTCTGCACGGCGGGTTTCGCGTCGAGCGGAGTGAGCATGCGCTGCGGGGGCTCCTGGAGAAACCCTAGGTTCTTATAAAACACGTTGCCGGTTTCGATACCGTCCTCCAGCAGGAAGCAGTGGCCCTTGGTTTTGATCCCCAGGTTCCACTCCAGCCGTAGATTCCACGTGCCGTGCACCACGTAGCACCGTTGATTGCTGTCGTGCACGCTACAGCTGCTGACCACCGAGCCTCTAACGTTCTGGCAGAGGTGAAAGTGCATGGGGTAGCGGCCGAGGCTTCCCTGCTGGCCCATGTTGACGAGCTCGACGCCTTTGATGAGTTGCCGCTCTGCCGTCTGCATCACCATGAAATGCCCGCCGATTAGCGGGTCCTCGGGGTTCTGGTGGCCCTGAATCACGATCGCGCGCGACAGCAGCGCCACCTCCGCCGCCTCGTCCACCGTCGCGCCCGCCACGCCCGACGTCACCGCCTCCCCCCAGTGCATCCACGCCAGCGCGCCGTTCAGCGCCAACACCGTCGTGTTCCTCGGACCTCTCGCCACCGATCTGATTGTAAAATTCTCCGCCTGGTAACGGTCAAAATCCGTCGACGTGATCGCAATCACGCCGCCTACCGGCCACGCGCTCACGTCCCCCTTAACCCGGATAGCTCGCGCCCCTTGATTCGCAGTAGCGGCGAGCGTGGTCCACGCGGGCGCGTTGCCATACATGCCGTTGAGCTCGAGCCGCCCGCCGACGGTGGCGAACACACGCACGCCTACGGAGCGCGGCTGAAACGGCGCGGCGGGGGGGCGCGTGATGGTGAGCTCGTTGGCGGCGCCGGTTAGGTTGACGGTTAGCTTGCCGGCATACGGCGACGTTGCCGTGCCGACAGTGACGCGGCCCTGATTTAAAATGAACGCCGCATTCACCTGCAGTGGACCCAACGCCTCCACCCTGCGCCATGCGCGCGCACGCGGACGCCGGGGGGAACGGGGGGACGCGGGGTACGGGGGGTTGGAAAGGTGACAGGGAGGCAACTATTGGGAAAGGTAAGGGACAGCGGAAGGGGACGAGTGATGATGGGGAAAAGAATGACACGGAAAGGTGCTCTGGAGACGTCGCACGATCTGAAAAGATGTTGAGGATAGGCAGGTGAGGCTACGCCGGTGCGGCAAGGCAGGTGAGGCTACGCCGGTGCGGCAAGGCAGGTGAGGCTACGCCGGTGCGGCAAGGCAGGTGAGGCTACGCCGGTGCGGCAAGGCAGGTGAGGCTAGGCAGGTGCGGCTAGGCTGATGTTGGGAGGAAGGGGAAGATGAGATATGAGTGGGTGTTGAGGGTGGTGAGGGGGATGGTGGGTGGGGTGGGGGGAAGAAATCAGCGCTTACTTGAGCCAGCCATTGATCTTCAGAAAGTAGACGGTGATGCTGACGTCTAAGAGCATCCCCACGCCGCACGTTATCGTCGCGTTGGCGCCTCGGTTATTCCCCACACCTGGCACTCTGTTATTGGGCCACGCCCGCGGGTCGCTCCACCGCTTCCACCCTTTAGGAGGGTCTTTGTACGACTCGGGTCCGCAGAAGGGCTTGAACACGTCCGTTACGTCCCCGCGCGAGAGCGCGGCGGCTGACAGCAGCAGCACTGTTACTAGTAGCGCTGTCGCCGCTGGTCTTAGTACCGACGGTTGTTGGTCCTGTTGTTGCGGCTGTCGTGGTCGTGGTCGTTGCGGCATCGTCGGAGAGCAGGAAATGGTATGATGATGCAGTGATATATGATGTAGTCTGTGGTCGGACGGGCTCGTGGTCGGCTGTCGGCGTCGTCGGTCTAGCGCTGCTAATCGGGAGGCACCACGATGTACTAACTGCGTCATTGTGTTTCTGTTAGGTTAGTTTCCGTTTCCCCTCCGTTTCCCCTCCGCTCGCAGGCGCAGGATCGTTACAAGCGGACTGTCGGCTAAAAGGTTGTCCTTTGACCGTTGAAGAGTCTTAACTACTCGGGCAAATGGGTCAGGCGTTATTGAAAAAGGCACTGTAGAGTACTGTATGCGGAGACAGTGAGGTGTCTGTGCTGCCGACATTCCAGGTGGACACTGAGCATCGCAGTCGATCGTGAGGTCTCGTTTCGCTGTGCCCTACTGGGGTAGGTACAGCCTCTAAACTGACCTGCTTCCTGATCTGCATCACTACACCAACGCGTACTTAGCCTCGTGATGTCGAAACAGCACTACTGGTGGAACTGGGAAGCCATGACACTCAAGATAGAGCGCAGAATGAGGTTGGTCGGGAGGGGCGAAGAAATAGGAAGGTTAGCGCTTATCGCCCTTTACATAGACATTTGAATGAGGGTCGGTCGGTCGAGCCGAGCCGGCGAAAATGACAGCGACGAACAAGTCGCATATGTAAGGGATGAGGCACCGGGGGCGGCGGGTTGGAGGGGGTGGAAATGGAAATGGCAGGGAGAATGGTTGGCACCAGAGGGGATGTGGTGCGACGACATTGGCCTCCAGAAAATGTCGGAGAGGACCCTGGAGACTCTGGTTTGGGTTGGAGGAAACACGGTCAAAAGGAAAGGCGGGCGGAGAGGTGGAGGTACTATTCAGAGCGAGGCGCAAGCATTCTTCCTTGACCTGCCAAGGACACCCAAACCAAACGGGGCGGTTGTGTAAGTGGTGCCATGCCATGGCTGACTTGACATCTCGCTTGGGAGTGCTCTCGAACGTCCACCGAAGGCTTGGAGGTACCCTTACGCTCACTGAGAACCAAAGCTGTGGTAACTTAGCCTCGCTGCCCTGGTTCGGGCACGGCTCGCAAATATCGCGACACACGTTTCCGCAGGTGCCATGCCAGCCACCACGGTTCCCTCGCTCCATCATCTTAGGAGAGCCGAGGCAGCTGGCCAAGCCGCGTCACCAGGCCAGTCGAATGACGGCTGTGTGAAACCCCCCCAGCTTTGCGGATTAGGTTGTCCTTTTGGCTCGGCATGGCTGCCACGGACCAGAATAATCAGGTATGACTCCTTCCATCTCCCATTCCACGTCCAGCAAGTGAAGAAAGTTTCTCTCGCTACAAAGTTCTGATGCAGTTGCGTAAGTGTGTTACTCATTTTTTTAGCAGGACAATAAAAGTATACGTAGCATGGGTAGCATATAATGGTATTCATTAGAAAACATATTGTCAATGAGGTTGATCCGTAAGATGCTTTACGATTAGCTTGTACACTATGTGCTTTCTGTGCATGTCATTAGATTTTGTTGAATTTCCCTTGGTAGTTCTTTTTTACAAACTTTCCATGGATAACATCACTTTCCTACCTACACTAACCGTGTAAGCTTCGATTATCTAATCAATTCAGGAAATCCATGGCGCAGGGTATGACGCCTAACGAACACAAGGATCAGGACGTGAAACGCGCGGACATGGCGCGTGACAATGCCGCTGACATTAATAACGACGAGCAAGGCGAGGAGGAGGACGACGACTTTGACGACTTTGCTGATTACACTGAAACCGAGGAGGAGGAAGACGATGATTCGACAAGCGATGAGGAAGGAGGGGAGAACAAGGAAGGCGGGGAAGGAGACGAGGAGGAAGAGGACGCTGATTGGCTGCCTCGATGGTTGAAAGCTCGTTACGAAAATAGTCTTCCACTTCGCAGATGGAACTGCCTAAACTGCACCAACGTTAACGTCGCCGTGAACGTCGACGGCAATGGCAACGGCGAGACGAGCCGTGAGCGGGATTCCCAAGACTCGGAAGACGACACAAGCACAGAGGTGGAAGTATTAGAGGCGAGCACTAACGATGGGAGTGCCAGTAGCGGGAGTGACAGTGACGTGCAGGAGGTTACAACGGAAGTGGAAATTGAGTGGACAGGAGCGAAAAAGGAGGAGGAGAAGAAGGAGAAGGAGAAGGAGAAGGGGAAGAAGAAGGAAAAGGAGAAAAGGGATGGGAGTGGAGGGAAAGGTACGGCGAAGAATGGGCGGATCGGCCCTGAGAAGAGGAAAGGGGTGGCAAGTGATGCTGACGAAGTGTGCGACGTGCGTAAGAAGAGGATGGGGTTGTATTTGCTGGTGGGAGAGGAATCTGCTGGTGATGGTTTTGAAGCCTCATGAGCACGCACACACACACACACACACACACACACACGCACGCACGCACGCACGCACACACGCACGCACGCACGCGCACGCGCACGCACACGCATGCATGTGTCCCTTGTTTAATCGCAACCATTCAGCACGCAACATTCACCATTCACCATTTACCATCCTCTGTTCACTGTGAACAAATATCTCCCAAATTAGATTGCTAAAAATATGCATGTGCATACACACCTTAACAATGGTGACCATTCTCACTCTGTGCAGGTGTGTGGAGCTCGCGAGTCCTTTTCCATCCTTTCAGTGGAGAGGATGGGAGCAGCAGCAACGGTAGCAGCAGCAACTACGGTTAGCACAGCAGTAGCACGAGCTGGGACAAGGATGACGCGAGAGGCTGGAAAATCAGGGAGAAAGAATTCGGGAGTGAAGAGACGAGGAGAAGGAGGGGGTGAGAGTTTGGAAGGGCACACTGCTATCGGATGTGATGAGCTGATGCTGCTGCATGAGGAGGTGAGGGGAGTTGCACACTTGACATTACACTCTTAAATCTGGTACGATTGCGTTCGTTATATTTAGATGCATGCTTTCCACAGATTTGGGTACTACTGGTATGTGCATGCATGTGCATGTGTGCGGCTGCATGTGCAGTCGCATGTCAGCCATGTGTGCATTTGTATGTATGTACACGGAGAATGGATAGATGGGTCCATTTCCCATGGTGCCAGCCAGCTATCTGTTCCCTTATGCCGGTGCATGCAATCTGGGCAGTTCAGGTCAAATACGCAATGCTCCAATCCAGACTTGCAATTCCATGCTTTAGCTACACACTCGTGCCGCTCCCAACAGTCACTCCCAACTGTTGCTCTCATTTGTCAGTGGCAACCGTTGATCTCAACTGTTAGTTACAGTCTCGCTCTACACTCAGCTGCATCTTCCATTCCATTTCTTCCCCCCCCCACACTCCACCTCCCCGCCCTCCCCCTCTCCCCACCCATGCCCCTGTTACCTCTCGTCCCCCCATCGACTTTGCGACATGACATGCCCTGTGTGTGCTGCATGTGCTGCATGCGCTCTGTGGTGCATTGCAGGTCGGCAGTGCCTCTCTGCATCCTGAGCGTCCGGACCGACTGCGAGCCATTCTGGCATTTCTTAAAGGCGCAGGTGGGGGTCGGTGGGTGGGTGGGGGAGCGGTGGTGAGGGATGGGGAAGGGGAAGGGGATTATGGTTGGAGGGAAGAACGGAAAGTGAGGACGCGTTAAAGGGTTGAGTTGATCTGTTGCTTCTAACTCCTACTTTTTGTTTGGGTTGAGCCTTTTGTTTGCTCTGTGTGCTTGAGCTGGTTGAGACAAGGGTTTGCACGTGTGGGAAGGGAATGGCAGCTTATTTATGTGTGTATTTTTTTTGTGCATGTATGCTTTATTTTGTGTTCGAATGGATGCGTGTATGGATTGCATGTGTGTGTGCATGCATGCATGCATGCAGGTTTGTTCCCAGGTCTATGTAAGGCATGGGCATCAGAGAGTGCAGCAGATGACCTTATTCTCAATGTGAGCTTCCCCAAAAAAACCCATGCGTTGCATGCATTCTGATGATGCTATGATGCTCGCAGTCAATTATTTGCAGTGCACTTGAGCTATGCACATGCAGTCATAATCTCTGAGGCACCACAAGAAAAAAAAAACTGCAGTGCCCATGTGACGAGTGCATTAGAGTACTTGGAGTAAATCATGTGTCCTTAATGTGCATCCACTCGCACACAATAGCCACGTGTTTGAAGAAGTGTTTTGAGACGTCTCAAAACACTTATTCAAGTACTTGGAGTAAATCATGTGCCCTTAATGTGCAACCACTCGCACACAATAGGGGCACTCGCATGATCGTTCTCGTTGTGCTCCTCTTTGTGTTGCCCGTGTTCTCGATTCAGCCTCTCTCTCACACACCTGTCGCTCTCCATTCTCTCTGGATGTTTCAAGGTTCAGTTTTTTTAGGTGCCTAAAAAAACACGCTTCGCGTTTTCATCGTTCTCTGTGTCTGTCTCAAAAATCTGCTTTGCACGTTGTGGTGCGTTGCGTTGTCATGTATATCCTGCCACGCCATTGCTCAGTGATCTGCTCTGATCTGCTCTGCTTTCCATAACCCATCCTTCATTCATGCCATGCCCTCCATCCCACCAGAGCCACACGGCCAAGCATCTAGCAATGGTGGACAAGGCAGCTTCAACTGACACCAGGTGCGCATCATTCCAGAACCACCAGTTGCAGACTACTAGAGGGATGGGCAACTGACTGCGAAAGGGTTCCAGAGTGCCTGTTCAATCATCGACGGTATCAGGCGGGTGAGCGAGCACCTGACCTGACCATGCACATCCAGGTGATCTCAACTCCAGAAGATGGCTGTGTGAAGCGAGGTTGTTTTTGAGACGTCTCAAAAACAACCTCGCTTCACGCGAGCACCTGACCTGACCGTGCACATCCAGGTGCATCTCAACTCAAGGACATGGCTGTGCTGTGCCCATGTGGGTGGGAGCATCACGTGCTGACCTGCCACGCACGCTAGCCCCTTTCGCTTCGCCTCTTCTATTAGATTGCCTTGCCCCCCCTGTCTCGCCTGGTCTCCTCCTCTCCCTGCTCTGCATGTATTCCCACGCTATCATGCTCCACTCCACACTACTACGCCAACCAGTTGTAGGACATTAGCCAGCAGCAGCGCCACGCAGACCTCCTGAATTGACTCAAAAGCCCTCCATCTTCCTGTCCCGCCGTCTCTCCCTCCGTCCGTCCATCCCTGTTCACTCCCTGCAGTGCGTTCAACGCGGACACATACGCCAACCGGTGGTCGCCAGCAGCAGCGCGCCTGGCAGCGGGGACAGCAGCCACCATGGCTCGCGCCATTGCCACCGGCCGCCTCCTCAACGGCTTTGCTCTGGTGCTGTCCACTCGCCACCTTCTTTTCTGGACCCAGTTTGCACCTTTGAGAGTCCTCTTGCTCTATCGAGTTTTGTTGAGCCAAATATTTTATTCCATTGATCTTTCATTCTTTCCTCGTGCTCTCATATCCCATCCTCTCTGCACTTACCGCTTGATCCTCATACCCATCCCCATCATCGTCCTCATCCCCATCCCTAGTACCATCTCATCTCCATCCGCCCCCACCCCCCTCACATTCCTGCTCACTGCATGCAGGTGCGGCCGCCAGGACACCATGCAGGGACGGAGGGGCCTCAGGGCTTCTGTCTGCACAACAATGCAGCTGTGGCAGCCAGGGCAGCGCAGGCAGAAGGGGCTAAGAAAATCCTGCTGCTTGACTGGGTCAGCTGCTGCTTCTTCTTCTTCTGCTTCTTCTTCTTCTGCTGCTGCTGCTGCTGCTGCTGCTGTTGCTGCTGCGCCTGCTCTGCCTCTTGCTCTCCTTCACATTGTCTCGCCTTCCCCTTCTTTGCCTCTGTGTTCTTTTGCCACTGGGTGGTTTTCGTAAGGCACGGCAGCTGCCTATTCCCAAGTTCTCAACCTAAACACACAGCTAAGCTTTGAGGCCACCTCAAAAGATGGAACTGTAGGCACATCACAGGAAGCAAAGCAGCGCGGTACCATGCTGCTGTAATCACACCATCCCTGTTCTCCCAATTACCTCCTTGCTCCCTGTTCTCCCCGTAATCCCCACCACCACAGGACGTGCACCATGGCAATGGGACACAGCAAATCTTTGAGAGCGACCCTTCTGTAAGCACACTCCTCTCCTTGCATCCCTTCTGTGCCAGCCAGCCACTCCACTTTTGAGGCGCCTAAAAAAGAAGTCAAAAGTTTTGAGGCGTCTCACAAGTCGTCTTTGAGAGCGACCCTTCTGTAAGCACACTCCTCTCCTTGCGTCCCTTCTGTGCCAGCCACCCCCCTCCTGACGTTTAACCCTACGTGCACCACACTCACTCTTGTTCTGTGCCAGCCATCCTCCTCCTGTTCCCCTGCTTTTTTCCTTCCCTTTCTCCTTTACGTGAACCATCTCAACCCTTGTCTTCAACCTTCTAGACATTCATGCCCCATCCTCCTGTTCCACTCCTCTCCCCCCCTCCCTTACCCGCCACTCTTCCCTCCGTGCTGTACCATTCTGAGATGCTGTTGCCCTACCCTCCTTCCATCCCTCTCCCCCCTCTCTTTTTTCCTCCTGACCGAGTACCCGCCTCCCCATCCTCCACTCACGCAGGTGTTCTATGTGTCCATCCATCGCCATGAAGGGGGGTCCTTCTTTCCCGGCATTGGAGCGCCCACAGAAGTACTCTACTCTCTGCTTGCCCTGCATCCCGCTTCCCGCATCCCGGTTCCCGCATCCCGCTTCCTGCATCCCGCTTCCTTCTCTGCCTACCTGCAGACCAACTCATACTCTGCTTCTCAGTTTCTCACCAACTGAGATACTCTGCCTCCCACTTGCCCGATTTATTGCTGCCATGTCTTCCTTCCCGCCTTCCTTCTTCTGCCTACCCGTTGCGCTCAGACGTTTTATGTTGCTTGCTCCGCCCTCTGCTCTCCGCCCTCTTCCCTCCGCCCTCTGCCCTTCGCCCTCCGCCCTCCGCCCTACGCCCTCCGCCCTCCGCCCTTCGCCCTTCGCCCTCTGCCCTCCGCCCTCTGCCCTCCGCCCTCTGCCCTCACCATCTCCCTCCGGCAGGTGGGATCAGGGCCAGGGGAGGGGCGGTCGGCCAACGTGGCATGGCCATGTGGAGCCATGACAGATGCGGACTACCTCGCTGCCTTCTTCCACCTCATCCTGCCGCTCGGTGTGTGAGCTCAGCCCTTGCGTGTGTAATGTAAACAGCCGCTTTGGAAAGACTGAATTTACTTCCAGCTTTCTGTTCATTGCAATCTACTGCTGCTAGTGCCAGAGTAATGGCCCCACTTCTAGTAGCTTGCCTTGCATTGCACTAGTTGTAACGACCACTTTGTGCCAGTTGTACTTTGAGAGCTCTCTCTCTCTCTCAAACGGTCCTTTGTATTAATTCAGCAGGGGTACAAACATGCGGTGCTATCCATGATAACCTCCATCCCTTAAGCCCCAAAACTCACCACTCTTCTCCCCCCCCTGAGTGACCCTCTAGCCCTCCAGCGTGTGGAGGATGTCCCCCAGGTGCAGCGGCCAGGGGTCCGCTGCCATCTGGGGGTGCGCTGCCTCGATCCCAGCCCTGGCCTTGGTGTGCAGGGCATTCGCCTGGGAGCGCTGGAGGGCCACTGACCAGCGCTGGCTGAAGTGGCAGGCCATCTTCTTGGCCGATTTCGCCAAGGGGTTGGCCCTGAACCGGTTCCTAGCTGCTGCTGTGGCCAGCAGCTTCAGGAACGCAGTCGTGGTGGGCGCGTTTGCCCCATAGGTCTCGACGGCTAGGGCGCAGAACACCACGTGTTCCGTGTGTCGGTAGTACTCCCTCTCCTTCCGCCTCTGTGCCTCTCTAGCAGCCCAGCCTGGGGGTTTGCGGGCTGTGGGGTCCCGGTTCTGCAGCACGGGGTCTGTGATAGTGGTGTCTGTGATCCAAGTCTCTCCACTGTCCGGGTCGCGTACAATCACATCGGCTTTCTTCGGGTCATCCGGCGGTGAGTACATGGCGTTCTCCAGGTATACCACCAGCTCTGCTTCCCTTGCCATTTTAGCCACGGCAAAAGCTAGCTGGTTGTGTGTGCGTGTCCTGTCGGGGCCTGTGCTGCAGCGGAGTAGGTGGTTGGGTAGGCTGCAGTCGGCTACGAGTTCTCCACACTCGCACACAGTGGGTACATTCTGTCGGATGCCCATGCGGAAGGCCAGGGCTGCTCGGAATTGTCCCGGTGAGAAGCAAAGGTCCGGGGTCAAAGGTAGGGCCTGCAGCCATGCTCCCGCTCCCTCCCCTCTCAGGCTGATGAGGCGGGGTGAGTGACCCATCTCGGGGGCTGACTGGATGGTGCGTGACTCCTCTGTCAAGGCGTCGGCCTTTGCCGCGTGCACCTCCTGAGAGAGGGCGCGTTGCAGCTGGTCTTGGGACGGGGTTTGCTGCTCCTCCCGGAGGTTTTGTAGCGCCAGCGGTGGCAGGCGCCCCTCCATGTCCTGGATGGTTACCGAGTGCGCTGCGGACGGCTGCAGGGTGTTGTTGTTGGCCCCCAGTGCCGCGGTTGCTGGTAGGTCAAGGGAGCGGAGCAGTCGTAGCGCCTCCGTCGTTGATGCCAGGTAGGCCGGTGCTGCTTCTGTTGTGGGGTCTGTAAGTCCCAGCCCGCCCAGGGCGACTGGAAGAGTTGCTTGTCGGAGCAGGAAGTTGAACTCGGCTTCTCGGCGTGGCGGTTGAATGCTGGCGGCGGTCAAGGCCGTGTGCAGTAGTTCGGAGCACCATGTGTGCCATTCCGAGAGGGGTAAGACGTCTGCTGGGGTAGTGCGTAGCAGGTAGCCGATTCTGCGGCTGATGCAACGGGACAGTAGCAGGAGGGCATGTTGTGGGTGGATGGACGCCAGAGAACCCAAGGGGGCTGCCGCGTCTGTCAGGGTACTGCGGACAAAGGCAGAGCAGAAGCTCTGCGACCCCACAGGACTTCCCAACACCCGTACCCCCTCGTGGGTGTGGGGGAGGCCTTCAGGGAGCACGACACCTCCAAGCGGCATGGAGGACCACGCCGACGACTTCATAAAGTTGCAGGTGAGGCCATCCTGTGCTAGTAGCGGCGTGAGCTCCCTTAGCGCGTCTAGCGTCGCCGTCGCGGGTCCAATCATGGTTATGTCGTCTGCGTACGCGAGGACGGTGACTTCCGGGTGCTCCGCTGCCACGTGCCTGAGGTGCTGCTGGATAGACGCCGCGAATAGCAGGGGTCCGAGGGGATCCCCCTGTCTGACTCCTCTTCCGCTGGTGAGTGATGTGGAATTGAAGCATGGATCTAGCAGCAGCGGTGATGGTGATGCGTAGAAAGAGCGTGTGAAGGGGATGAGGGGGGCTAGCGGGGAGCCGATAAGTGCGTTGAAGAACGCGCTCCTCTCGACTGAGTTGAACGCGTTCTCAATGTCGAGTTGGAGGACTAGGCTGGAGGGCTGCACGGTGGTGAGGTCTCTGACTGCATGGATGACGAACTCAGCACCTCCCGGGACTGCCACGCCAAATTGCTGAGGTAGGAAAAATTTTCGCGTTTCTCCTTGCAGGTCTGAGAGTGCCACTTTCGCCGCCAGCCTAAGCAATGTTTCTCCAATCGCGATTGGGCGTACCCCCCCCCCTGGTTTGGCGAAGGCTATAAGGCGGGACGGGGCGAGTAGGGCTGCAACCTCGGTGGAAAGGTTTGTCGAGAGAAGGTGTTTAACGGCGGAGTGGAGGTGCCCTAGTACCTCGATGTTACTTAGCGCTGGATCGCGGTAGTGTTCGAAGGTTGACTCCGATGGGCCAGCCCCAATTCCCCTGGGGCATTCCCCGAGGACGTCCGAAAAGCTTTCCAGGGTGGTTGAAAATTGTGTGGGTGTCGTGTAGGAGTGGACCCAGTCGGGCAGGTCATTTTGGGGTTGGGGGTGTTTCGATTCCAGCTGCTGCAGTGTCGCGAATGTCGCCGGTGCTGATGGTGAGGGTTGAAGGGCCGCTAACGCCTTTCGCAGGTTACCCCTTTTCACCAACCCCTCCGCACGTGAGCAGATTCCCAGCGGGTCACGTTGGTGCTGAGGTGGTTCGGCCAGGTGCATTGACCCCAAGTATTCGGTGTACAGCTGGGTCCAGTGTCCACATCGGAATAGATGCATCTGTGCCCGCAGCAGTTTCCACCTAGAGCTGGATCTCCGGCTAAGTCTTAGCGTGAGACGTGGCAGGAACATGAGGACCCGCCACGCTCACGCGCAATTAGGCAGCTTTGAGATCCGTAGTAAGGCAGCCAGCATAGAGGTGGAGTAGTCGCTGAGGATCTGCGGCGGCAGTCGGCGGACGATTGGTTGGTGGGTGATGGATGTTAGGAGCGTAAGGTCCCAGGTCATCGCGATCTGGAAAAGATCCTCCCGCGAGGCCAGCTGGGACGCAGATAGGGCTTGGTCCGGTGGGGGCTGGGCTCTGCGCTGCTGTCTGCGGTTGGTTCCTCTCTCTACTGTTGCTGCGCCACCTCCTCTCCTGATTCCGCGCGAGGTGAGTCGGGATTGTCTGGTTGCCTCAGATCTGACGGTATATAGTCCTCGTCTCTCGCCTCTCTGATGATATCGACGTTCCTCCCTGCTTGCGCTGGTGCACCACCTCTCGCCCCGCGCCTAGCGAACGACTGCCGCGTGATTCGTTCCGCCGGCTCCCCTAGCCAGATTGGGCTCGGTGGTTGGCGCCCGCGCCCCCTCGCCGCTTGACCTTCGCTCCTTTGTCCTCCGCGCGCTCCTCGTCGCGATCCTCTCCCCCGCGCGCTTCCCCGTCCGCTCTGCGGGGTCCCTGCTGCTAGCGCCGCCTGTTGCGTGGGGAAAGTCGGGGTTGTAGGCTCCCCTTGTGTTGGAATTGCGCCTTGTGCTTGCGCAGATGGCGCTTCCGTCCGCCCACGACCGCGAGTGTACCGCGGAGAGTGCACCTGTGCTTCCGCCACGCCCGGCGGTGAGCGTTCCTGCTCGTCCTCCCGCTGCTGCGGACCAAATCCGGCGCCGATTTGAGGACCAGCGCCGTCCTCCCGGGCCGCGCGTCGCTGATTCGCCTCCGAGAGTGGCAACCCGCGCGGAGTCCGCTGTGCGTTCTGGCGCCTTGGCGGAGCCGCACCGGGGGCGTTCTCCGCGTCGTCGGACGCCTGAGCCTCGTGACGAACGCTGCGAGGGGCGGCGTGAAGATCGCCGCGAGCGTCGCTCCCCTCGTCGTCAGGGGAGCCGCAGCCGTTCCCCTGGGCGTCGTTCGCCAAGTCACCGTTCCCCATCTCGCCATTCGCCTCGCTGTCATTCACCCGCGCGCCGATCCTCAGGGCGTCGCACTCCTGCTCGCCGTTCTCCGCGCGAATCGCCGGTGAAGCGCCAGCGGCGCCATTCTCCATCGCGTCGTGAGCGATCCCCTGCGCTCCGCCCGCGCAGCACGTCCCGGCCCCAATCTCCAGCCCGCTCGTGGTCGAATAGTCGTGGGCGGCGTGGCAGTCGCGGGGGCCGCGGACGCGGGGGCAGGGGTCGCCAGTCTGCGTCGGACTTTGCGCGCGCCCTGGAGAGGCTTCCGGACGTGCTCGCAACTGCTCTCCGTGAGTCGCAGGTGGCGACAGCCTGTCGCTCCGTTCCGCCAGACACTCCTCGTTCTCTTCCCGCCATTGTCGAGGTAGCCAACCGTGCGGTGTCCCCGCAGCGCTCTGTCCAGCAGCCGCCTGTTCTCCCGGGTTTTGTTGGCGCTGGCGGAGGCCCAGCAAGGGGTCCGTATCGTGACCCTCGTCCTCGCCTTGAGGAGGCGGAGTATTCATGTTCCACGGCGACCCTGCGTCAGCTGTGGATACTGTCGGAGTGCCTAGAGGCACTGGCGCGTGTTCTCCGGTCAACTCGTGCGTCGATGCCGATATCCCGCCCGAGCACATTTGCTGAGAAACCGCAAGCAGCGTGCTTGGGGGCGGCGGATGAGATCCTATCCCTCTTGGCGCCACTGCAGGCAGCGCCCTCCCCGGGTGCAGACGCGGCCAACCTGCTGGCTCGCGCGGCCCTGGATCTGAGGCACATTGCAGGGTCGGTTGAAGGCACACCCGGAGATGCTCTAACCGCCTGCGTGTCAGTGGTCCGCCACTTGTGGCAGACCACGCGCGGAATGCTCTCGTTTCTGGGGGCGGACCGCATGTAGGTGCCCCCCTTTGTCTTGTGTAGACCTTCTCCATGATGCCTGCTAGTTGATGATGTTTGTCGCCATGCTGTCTGCTAAAGTTGTCCCGTTACCTAAGCTTGCCTCCTAAAATGCGCGGCCGTAGGCCGCGCACGCGAGCGCCGGCGGCCGGCCGCCGGCGCGAAGCGCCGGAAAATTTGGAATCACCAAATGAATAATGAGCTAGGGAAGGTGCCGGCTGGCCATTATATAGCTGGGGGAAGGGGAAGAGGCTAGGAGGGAAGAGGCTAAGTCCCCCTTTCTCTCTCGCTCTCTCGAAACGAGCACCGGAAAATTTGGAATCACCAAATGAATAATGAGCTAGGGAAGGTGCCCGCTGGCCATTATATAGCTGGGGGAAGGGGAAGAGGCTAGGAGGGAAGAGGCTAAGTCCCCCTTTCTCTCTCGCTCTCTCGAAACGAGCACCGGAAAATTTGGAATCACCAAATGAATAATGAGCTAGGGAAGGTGCCGGCTGGCCATTATATAGCTGGGGGAAGGGGAAGAGGCTAGGAGGGAAGAGGCTAAGTCCCCCTTTCTCTCTCGCTCTCTCGAAACGAGCACCGGAAAATTTGGAATCACCAAATGAATAATGAGCTAGGGAAGGTGCCGGCTGGCCATTATATAGCTGGGGGAAGGGGAAGAGGCTAGGAGGGAAGAGGCTAAGTCCCCCTTTCTCTCTCGCTCTCTCGAAACGAGCACCGGAAAATTTGGAATCACCAAATGAATAATGAGCTAGGGAAGGTGCCGGCTGGCCATTATATAGCTGGGGGAAGGGGAAGAGGCTAGGAGGGAAGAGGCTAAGTCCCCCTTTCTCTCTCGCTCTCTCGAAACGAGCACCGGAAAATTTGGAATCACCAAATGAATAATGAGCTAGGGAAGGTGCCCGCTGGCCATTATATAGCTGGGGGAAGGGGAAGAGGCTAGGAGGGAAGAGGCTAAGTCCCCCTTTCTCTCTCGCTCTCTCGAAACGAGCACCGGAAAATTTGGAATCACCAAATGAATAATGAGCTAGGGAAGGTGCCGGCTGGCCATTATATAGCTGGGGGAAGGGGAAGAGGCTAGGAGGGAAGAGGCTAAGTCCCCCTTTCTCTCTCGCTCTCTCGAAACGAGCACCGGAAAATTTGGAATCACCAAATGAATAATGAGCTAGGGAAGGTGCCGGCTGGCCATTATATAGCTGGGGGAAGGGGAAGAGGCTAGGAGGGAAGAGGCTAAGTCCCCCTTTCTCTCTCGCTCTCTCGAAACGAGCACCGGAAAATTTGGAATCACCAAATGAATAATGAGCTAGGGAAGGTGCCGGCTGGCCATTATATAGCTGGGGGAAGGGGAAGAGGCTAGGAGGGAAGAGGCTAAGTCCCCCTTTCTCTCTCTCTCTCTCTCTCTCTCTCTCTCTCTCTCTCTCTCTCTCTCTCTCTCTCTCTCTCTCTCTCTCTCTCTCTCTCTCTCTCAAATGGTCCGTTGTATTAATTCAGCAGGGGTACAGACATGCAGTTCTATCCATGATAACCTCAATCCCATAAGCCCATCAACTCACCCCTCTTCCCCTCCCCTCCCCCCTGAGTGACCCTCTAGCCCTCCAACGTGTGGAGGATGTCCCCCAGGTGCAGCGGCCAGGGGTCCGCTGCCATCTGGGGGTGTGCTGCCTCAATCCCAGCCCTGGCCTTGGTGTGCAGGGCGTTCGCCTGGGAGCGCTGGAGGGCCACTGACCAGCGCTGGCTGAAGTGGCAGGCCATCTTCTTGGCGGATTTCGCCAAGGGGCTGGCCCTGAAGCGGTTCCTAGCTGCTGCTGTGGCCAGCAGTTTCAGGAACGCCGTCGTGGGGGGGGGGGCGCGTTTGCCCCATAGGTCTCGACGGCCAGGGCGCAGAATACCACGTGTTCAGTGTGTCGGTAGTAGTCCCTCTCCTTCCGCTTCTGTGCCTCCCTTGCAGCCCAACCTGGGGGTTTGCGGGCCGTAGGGTCTCGCTTCTGCAGCACAGGGTCAGTGATCGTGGTGTCTGTGATTCAGGTCTCTCCGCTGTCCGGGTCTTGTACAATCACATCTGCCTTCTTCGGGTCATCCGAAGGTGAGTACATCACATTCTCCAGGTATACCACCAGCTGCGCCTCCCTCGCCATTTTAGCCATGGCGAAGGCCAGCTGGTTGTGTGTGCGCGTCCTGTCGGGGCCTGTGCTGCAGCGGAGTAAGTGGTTGGGTAGGCTGCAGTCGGCTACGAGTTCTCCGCACTCGCACACGGTTGGTACATTTTGTCGGATGCCCATGCGGAAGGCCAGGGCCGCTCGGAACTGTCCCGGTGAGAAGCAGAGGTCCGGGGTCAAGGGTAGTGCCTGCAGCCATGCTCCTGCTCCCTCTCCTCTCAGGCTGACTAGGCGGAGTGTGTGGCCCATCTCGGGGGCTGACTGTATTGCGCGTGACTCCTCTCTTAGGGCGTCGGCCTTTGCCGCGTGCACTTCCTGGGAGAGGGCGCGCTGCAGCTGGTCCTGGGACGGGGTTTGCTGCTCCTCCCGTAGGTTTTGTAGCGCCAGCGGTGGCAGTCGCCCCTCCATGTCCTGGATGGTCACGGAGTGCGCTGCAGACGGCTGCAGGGCGTTGCTGTCGGCCCGCGCTGTTGCCGGTAAGTCCAGGGAGCGGAGCAGGCGCAGCGCCTCTGTTGTAGATGCCAGGTAGGCCGGTGCTGCTTCAGTTGTGGGGTCCGTAAGGCCCAGTCCGCCTAGGGCTACTGGGAGAGTTGCCTGTCGGAGAAGGAAGTTGAACTCGGCTTGTCGGCGTGGCGGTTGAATGCTGGCGGCGGTCAAGGCAGTGTTCAGTAATTCGGCGCACCATGTGTGCCATTCCGAGAGCGGTAAGACGTCAGCTGGGGTAGTGCGCAGCAGGTAGCCGACTCTGCGGCTGATGCAACGAGACAGTAGCAGGAGGGCGTGTTGTGGGTGGATGGACGCCAGAGAGCCCAAGGGGGCTGCCGCGTCTGTCAGGGTGCTGCGGACAAAATCAGAGCAGAAGCTCTGCGACCCCACTGGACTTCCCAACACCCGCACCCCCTCGCGGGTGAGGGGAAGGCCCTCGGGGAGTACGTCCCCTCCTAGCGGCACGGTGGACCACGCCGACGACTTCCTAAAGTTGCAGGTGAGACCGTCCCGTGCCAGCAGCGGCGTGAGCTCCCTGAGCGCTTCCAGCGTCGCCGCCGCGGGTCCAATCACGGTTATGTCGTCCGCGTAAGCGAGGACCGTGACTTCGGGGTGCTCCGTTGCTACGTGCCTGAGGTGCTGCTGGATAGACGCTGCGAATAACAGAGGTCCGAGGGGATCCCCCTGTCTGACTCCTCTTCCGCTGGTGAGTGCCGTGGAATTGAAGCATGGGTCCAGCAGCAGTGGTGAAGATGCTGCGTAGAAAGAGCGTGTGAAGGGGATTAGGGGAGCTAGTGGGGAGCCGATGAGTGCGTTGAAGAACGCGCTCCTCTCTACTGAGTTGAACGCGTTCTCAATGTCGAGCTGGAGTACTAGGCTGGAGGGCTGCACCGTGGTGAGGTCTCGGACCGCATGGATGACAAATTCTGCACCTCCAGGGACTGCCACGCCAAATTGCTGAGGTAGGAAAAAAATCCGCGTTTCTCCTTGCAGATCTGAGAGCGCCACCTTCGCCGCCAGCCTAAGCAATGACTCTCCAATCGCAATGGGACGTACCCCCCCCCCTGGTTTGGCGAAGGCTATAAGGCGGGACGGGGCAAGTAGTGCTGCGACTTCAGTGGAAAGATTTGTCGAGAGAAGATGCGTAGCGGCGGAGTGGAGGTGCCCTAGTACCTCGATGTTACTTAGCGCTGGATCGCGGTAGTGTTCGAAAGTTGACCTCGATGGGCCAGCCCCAATTCCCCTGGGGCATTCTCCAAGGACGTCGGAAAAGCGTTCCAGAGTGGTTGAGAATTGCGTGGGTGTGGTGTAGGAATGCACCCACTCGGGCAGGTCATTTTGGGGTTGGGGGTGTTTCGATTCCAGCTGCTGTAGTGTCGCAATTGTCGCAGGTGCTGAAGGCGAGGGTTGTAGGGCTGCTAGCGCCTTTCGCAGGTTACCCCGTTTCACCAACCCCTCCGCACGTGAGCAGATTCCCAGTGGGTCACGTTGGTGCTGAGGTAGTTCGGCCAGGTGCATTGACCCCAAGTCGTCAGTGTACAGCTGGGTCCAGTGGCCACATCGGAATAGATGCATCTGTTCCCGCAGCAGTTTCCATCTAGAGCTGGATCTCCGGCTAAGTCTTAGCGTGAGACGTGGTAGGAACATGAGGACCCGCCATGCTCCCGCGCAGTTAGGCAGCTTGGAGATCCGAAGTAGGGCAGCCAGCATACAGGTGGAGTAGTCGCTGAGGATCTGCGGCGGCAGTCGGCGGACGATTGGTAGGTGGGTGGTGGAGGTTAGGAGTGTAAGGTCCCAAGTCATCGCGATCTGGAAAAGATCCTCCCGCGAGGCCAGCTGGGACGCCGATAGTGCCTGGTCCGGGGGAAGCTGAGCCCTGCGATGCTGTCTGCGGCCGGTTCCTCTCTCCTGTTGCTGCGCTTGCCCCTCTCCTTGTTCCGCGTGAGGTGAGGCGGGATCGTCTGGTTGCCTCAGATCTGACGGTATATAATCGTCTCCACTCCCCTCTGTTTTGATATCCCTGTTTCTCCCCGCTTGCGCTGGTGTTCCTCCCCTCGCCCCCCGCCTGGCGAATGACTGGCGCGTGACTCGTTCCGCCGGCTCCCCCAACCAGATTGGGCTCGGCAACTGGCAGGGCGGTCCCCTTCCCGCTTGGCCTGCGCTCCTCTGCCCTCCGCGCGCTCCTCGTCGCCCGCCTCTCCCCCGCGTGCTTCCCCGTCCGCTCCGCGGGGTAGCTGCCACAGGTTCCGCCTGTTGCGCCTGGGAGATCGGCGTTGTCGGCTCCTCGTGTGCCAGTGGAGCGTCTTGAGCGTTGGCCAATGGATTTCCTTGGCGCTCTTGGCCGCGACTGCACCGC